TTCCTGGGAAAGTGTGGCCTGGCAGGAGGATGTGGAACCTGCACACCTCTCCATCCACTTTGGTCTTAGCTGGTTTGTTTGGCTTTTGGTCCTGACCATATTTCTGATGGCCACTCCCATAAGGGAGGGAGTGGGGGGCTGTGCAGTCTCAGTGTTGCCCTACTGTGTCAGGTACACAGCAGTCGGGGGCGGGGGGAGTGCAGTGAGCGGTTTCCTGCCAGTACCAGCCTCACCCCACCCGTGCGATTGTTCCAGAGGAATGGTCTCCAGGCCACTCAGGTAGAGGTGGACAGCCGCCTCAGTGCAGGTCCCCTGCTGGCTCTCCCAGGGCAAGGGAGGGAGGGAGCCTGTCCCACAGGCTGGGGGAGGATGTAACCCACAGCCGCCGTGTCCCCACAGAGGGAAAAGAGCTGGCAGGAGGGGCAGAGGGCACCAGCTTCCTGCCCCAGGAGCCACAGTGCAGTGAGCAGGTGAAGACAGCCCCTGAGGGCCCCCCGGCGGAGCCGCATTGCTGGCCACCAGAGGCCACCCCTCGGACAGGCACGGAGCCCACCTGCAACCAAGGTAAGGCAAGCTAGGAGCAGCCCAGCCCCGGCCCCACAGCCAGCAGGCAGGGTGGGCTTCCCAGCAGAGGCACCTCCCTCCGCTGGAAGAGTGGACAGGGAGCTGGCAGGGCAGGGCCTGGGGAGGGCCCAGTGGTGAGGTAGACAACAAAGGCAGCTGGGCAGGGGAGGCCAGGCTAAAGAGCTTGGCAGGGGGGTATTGTGGCAGGGAGGGGGGCCCGAGAGCCCTTCATTCCACCCTCAGCTTCACACAGGGGAATAGTGAGGGTGGGCTGCCAACCTGTTGCAGAGCTGGGACTGAGGCTGCTTAGCTGAGGGGGAGGGGTGCCCGTGCCCACATGGGGCCACAGGAGGGGCAGGTATGTGGGGGAGGAGCCAGGGGCAGGCAGAGGGGTGGCCAGTAGGGCTGGGCCAGACAGGCATCTGCGTCCAAGTCAGAGCCCGTTCCCACCAGCCGCCCCAAGCAGCCAGGCCCCTCGGGGACTCGTCGGGGCTGGGGCCTCTCATAGACCCCGCTCAGGACAGCAGGGCCTGGCGCCAGCCCAAGGGGGCCAGGCCTGGGCTCTGAGTAAGCCCCACTCCTTTTAAAGCCATGGGGCAGTGGAGGAATGTGGAGGCCAGCCAGGCCGCGGGTTGCTCCCAACTCATGCAGCTCCCCAGAGGCAACCGGCCCTGGAACTGCTGCCTCGGGGCTCTGAGCATCAGCGTCCTCCCTGTGGCGTTGACACCAATAGAACATGTGTCCTAGGACGGTCACAGGGATGTAAGAGTTAATGCGTGCACAACTCTGGGAGGGCCTGTGGAATCCCTGGGAAGGCTCAGGGGGCTCACCCATGTCCCAAGCCCTGGGCTCCCAGAGTGCATCGTGCTCCTGTGGGGGGGGTCCCAGTCCCCACACCTCATGGCCCAAAGCCAGAGCCAAGCAGCTGGGGAGGCAGACAAAGATAGGAGGAGGCCTGGAGCCTGCCAGCCATCACAGGCAGAAAGGCCGAGAGAAGGCACCCTTGATCTGGTGTAGCGGGAAGAGGTGTTCTTGGTACCTCTGTCTTCCAGGGGGGAAACTGAGGCCCAAGTGGGGGAGGTGGGGGGGGCCCAAGAGGCTGTGAGCCAGGCTCAGCCCCTGCCGGTTACCCCACAGTCGACAGCTCCAAGGTGTCCAGCGGTGGGAGTACCCAGCCACCCCAGGGGCCCCCAGACAAGGCAGAGCCCAGCCGGGGCAAGTCGCGCCTCCTGCCCAACATGCCAAAGCTGGTCATCCCCTCGGCCGCCACCAAGTTTCCCCCTGAGATCACCGTCACGCCACCCACCCCAACCCTGCTCTCGCCCAAAGGCAGCATCTCGGAGGAGACCAAGCAGAAGCTGAAGGTGACCGCGGGTGCCGGGCGGGTGCCGGGGCGGGGGACACGGCCTCCAGGGCTCCGAGGGGGCGTGGGGCCCGGCCCCGGCCTCCCCTGACCAGTGCCCTGCCTGGTCTGTGCAGTCGGCCATCCTGTCTGCCCAGTCAGCTGCCAACGTGAGGAAGGAGAACCTGTGCCAGCCAGCCCTGGAGGTCCTGGAGACGTCGAGCCAGGAGTCCTCACTGGAGAGCGAGACGGACGAGGACGACGACTACATGGACATCTGAGTGGGGCGCCCGCCCGCCTCGCTGTTCCCCACGCAGCCCTCTGTCTGCCCTGCCTCCCATGTGGCGTCCTCCCTGCCTGCCTGGGCCAGGAGGCAGAGCCGCCTCCTTTTCTATGAAATGTTGACTTTGTAAATGTGCCCACCCGCCCAGGTGGCCACGTCCACACCCCGCCGCCCGGACGAGCCAGGCTCTGCCTGTGTCACAGTGGAGGGCTCATTTAGGGTCGGGCTCACCCCCCTCCCTTTTTTTGTTTTTTTTCTAATAAAGATGGAACAGTTGTCTTTGCTTCTTTGTTCACCCCAGGGCCTCCCTCAGCAGATTCTTGGCCAGAGTTTTCGGGCCCTCCTCCCGTATGTCAGGCCTGGCCCTCGGGGGTGCTAGGTGAGCACAGGCCAGGGAGCCACGCAGGGCAGACCCTTCCCTGTAAGGCTGGAGCTGAGCCTGTCAGGGGCGGCCCCTGTAGAATGCAGAAGTGTGACAGGATGTCCCTCGGGAGTAGGGGGGGCAGGCAGGGTCCAGGCCATGCTGAGGAGCTGACTTGCACCCCTATGTGACAGGGACCCTGGGGGGTCCTGAGAGGCAGGGTCTGTCAGAAAGGGTGAACTGGGGGGAGAGAGGTGCCAGCGGGGGCCGGGCACTTACCTCCCACCACACTTGCCCTCTGACAGGACCAGCTACCATAAGTTATGGGGCTCAGTGTGAGACAAATGTAGGGCCCCTTGTTCAACAACAAAGAATTGTTTAAAGGCAGCAGAAGAGCCTTAAACAACCCCCTGATGCTGGCCCTGCCCTCCCAGGCTCCAAGCCCATCTGCTTTGGGGAGGCCCAGGTTTCAGGGGCCCCAACCTGCCCTTCTCCACAATATCAACACCTCAGTGCCTTGGGGGCCCAGCCACCACCCCCACAGCTCTGGACTGGCTCCCACCCCCTGGGGCGTCCCCTGAAAGGCTCTCTCTCCAGGATGGAGATAGGGACCTCCTTGCTGCCCTAGCCCCTCATGGGCTGGACACTTCGTGCCCCCCGCCCAGGAAGAAAGGCCCAAGAGGCTGGGCACTGCCAGGGTCCCCAGTCCAGGCCTGGCAGAGCCACCCTGGGGACCCAGAGGGGTGGCGGCCTTGAATGGGTCCTCGCTGAACCTGTCCTGATCAGGCCCCAGCACCACCCCAGCAGGGCCCAGGGTGTGGAGACCCCCACACTGCACTCCTAGCTTCTCTCTTTCATCCTTTTCTTCTAATACATGCAGCTGGGGTGCCCAGGCTAGAAAGAGGAAGGGGTAACCTTCCTTCCTTGAGGGCCACAGATCCCCTTCCTGGGAACAACCTGGCAGTCTCCCAGGGCCCTTCCTGGTTCATGGGCCTGCAGGACACCTCAGACTCACCCAGAACCATGCCTACCATCTTCTTCTCCTAACCTGTGCCCTAGGAAGTACCCTCAGCCCTGAGCCTGGGATGAGTCGCAGCACCAGCCCCCAGGCTGGGGATCCAGGCTGCTCCCTGGCTCAGGACCTCAGTGCCCACACCCAGGGCACCCACCCACAGAGGTGTCCAGAGCAGCCAGTGACCAAGTTTCGAGTTGTGGTCCCCACTTCCCCAACTGGCATCCCTGACACCTGTAGGAGCCTGCCTCTCTGGAGCAACTGCAGGCACACGCACCAGGGAAGAGAAGCTGAGCCCAGGGAACAGAGCTGGCCTGACCCCAGGAGCTGAGGCAGTCATAGCCAGACAGCCTAAGCTCATGCCACCGGCCAGCTTCGGTTCCCTGCGAGGTCCAGGGACACGTCCCCTTTGGACACCTTGAGAAGCTGCCGCTGAGGAGAGAACCATCTGCCTGTCCAGACACCCAGTCCAGGTGGCAGAGCCCAAGAGAGTCCCAGGCCTGGGCCCTGCCTCTCCTGGTGACCTTGGCCCCACCCATCTCGGTCTGGGTCTCAGTTTCCACACCTGCACAATGAGAAGAGAAGGGAACAGTGAAGAGATTATGCAAACTCCGTAAATGACAGCGCAGGGGCAGGTAGGGCTGGGTGGCTTGTCTCCGGGCTTCCCTGCCCAGGGAGTGGGTGGACTGGCCTTGTTTCATATGCGAGCACCCCGGGGGCCCAGCCCAGCCAACATGGGGGAAACACAGGGTTCTGTTCTAAGCGCCCCAGCCCACCCCCTGCCAGGGTTACCCCACCCAGGGCTGGGCCCATCCCTCACCCTTCACTTCCTGCCTCCCAAGGGGATCCCTGCAAAGCTGTATCTGACCTGACAGCTCCGCGCTCCCCAAGAGGGAGCCCTCCTCCTGCACCCAGACACGCAGGTCTGGGGCGGGCACCTGCGTGAAGTTACTAGCTCCCTCGCCCTGCCAGGCTGTGGGGAGGAATTGGGAACTCCTGCTCCCTACAGGGAAGCTAGAAGACTAGAGATGCGAAGTCTGTGGCCCAATGCCCCGGGGGCTGGAATCCCGGGATTGCAAGGACAACCCCACCCTGCAGCATCCCTTCCCCTGCGGGAGCCCCACCCTGGCCGCCCAGGACAGGGCTGCTTTGGGATCCAGTGGTCTGAGCTGCAGCCTCTGAACATCCGACTCCTCTAGTGCCAGATATCCGGCAGCTGGAGGCTCGAGCCCCCTCCCCCTTGTCCCAGGCCTGCGGGCCAGGAATGTGCTAAGAGGGCAGGTTGGGCCCTGCTGGCCCACGCGAGCACCTGTGGACTTTGAGAAGGGACCGGGCGGGGCGGGGCGGGGCGCGGGGCGGGCGGGGCCAGGCCGAGGGAAGTGAGCCGGCCCGCCACCTCCCAAGCCTTTGCTGCTGCGGCTGCAGACACAGACCGCACCATGAAGCTGCCCCTCCTGCCCTGGGCCCTGCTGCTGCTGGCGACAGCCCCCGGCCCAGGCTCCGGGCCTACAGCAGGTACGCCCCCACCCTGCCCTTCTGTCCCCGTCTGTCCGTCTCCCTGCTGCAGCCAGGCCCAGGGCAGACAACCCTCTGGGCTCAGCCTTTGACCATCTGTCAGACCACCTGTGACTGTAGTTGGGGCGGTAAGAAATTCTGGGGATCCCAAGGTCAAGGGGCCCCCAGCAGGGATGGGGGTCTGGGCCATGCCCACCCTAAATTCGCTGGGAGCCCAGAGGCAGTGGCTGCCTGGGAGGGAGGTGGCCAGGGGGCTGGTGGGCTCAGGAGAACTGTTGGCCAGCACCCCAAGCCCTGAGGGAGGGTTGCTCGTACATGGAGGAGCCTCCCAGCCCCACTGGGCCCCTGCCGGGCGAGAGGCAGGGTTGTGGGTCCTTATGGGGGGCTGAAGGGGCTAAACCAAGAAAATCCCAGAGAAGGCTCACACGCCCATCTCAGAAGAGTGCCTCCACCCTCCTGCCACTTATCTCACCCTTTATTGGCATCACTCAGCTCCTCCCCACCCCCTTGAGCCCTCACATCCTCAGTCAATAAATATTTATTGACGATCTTGAGTGCCAGGCCCTGCGCTGGGTGAAATGGGGCCACCAGGGTGGCTCAGGCCCAGGCCTAGCCCTTGACTGGCCCTCTTTTGGGGGAGATGGCAGGGAAGGGCCAGGTGGTATGTGTGCTCCCAACCCCAGTCTGCACCCTTTAACCCGCCTGGCCAAGCCAGCTCCAGAGGGATGGATCCCCTGAAAACATGGCCTTGTCACGGGTCCCCACAGCAGAAAAGGCTGGGGCCTGATGTCCACAGCCCCCCACTAACCGCTCTCTCTCCCATCCTGGCCCTGCTGGGCCTTCTGCTAACAATGTCCCTCCTCCCCGCTGAGAGAAGGGGAGCACCCTTTGCCTTCTCCCACAATGATGGGGCTCCTTTTGGGGCCACAATCCGTGAGCTGGCACTGCCTGGCAGAGTGAGATGGCGCAAGCTCGGCCTGGGCACCAGCCCCTACCAGCCTCCAATGGGACTCTTGGTAGCCATGTCCCCAGACCCAGACTGGGCAAGCCAGGAGAGTCTTCTCTAGGCTGTGGGGCCACAGATGCTTCAGTGAGTGGAGACAGGTCCTTGACCCATGTCAAGGGCTCAGGCACCTGTGGCTGTCTAAGGACGCCCTTGGGTTTGGGACTTGGTGGCTGAGGGTCAGCCCTGCCCTGGGGGCTCCTCCTGATGCTGCAAAGTCGTATGTTTGGAGGCATTTCCCCTTATCTGCCATTGTTCTAGCTGGTCATTCAGGCCAACTGTTGGATTATCTGTACTGAGAATTACCCTACCCCACAGGCCTTGTGGGTTTCCACTGTGTCCACGTGGTGGTCAGTGCAATTTCCGGCCAGCATTCTCCCAGGGATGCTTCTCTCTAATGGGCTCCAGGGGAAATAGATGTGGGCCCTGCGCATGAGGCGGCCAGCCCAGCACCTGCCTGGGCCAGGTGCTCAGGGCCCTCTCCTCCAGGTGCCCAGGAGAGCTGCTCCTACCGCTGTGGGGACTGGAACGAGCAGTGCTCCTGCCACCCGACCTGCTCTGGCCTGGGCACCTGCTGCTCGGACTTTCGGGACTTCTGCCTGGAGATCTCGCCCTACTCGGACTCCATGATGGGCGGCAAGGACTTCGTGGTGCAGCATCTCAATTGGTTCAACTCCACGGACGGCGTGATCTGCAGGTGGGAGGCCTGAGGGACAGGATGGCCAGGGCTCCGTGCATGCTGGGGACAAAGACCCACTGGCCGGCTGGGTGGAGCCCCTGGGACCACGGATAGGGACAACTGGCTGGACGGGTTCCCCGGGGAGGTTGGGGGCCCAGGTCTCAGAGAGGATCAGCCCACCCTGGCCCAGCCTCTCTGGCCACCTCCACCCCCACAGGTTTAATGAGAGCATCCAGACCCGCGGCCACGTGGACTCCTTGGGACTTGTGCACTGTGTGTCACCTTTGCTCTATGAAACTGGCCGCATTCCCTTCACACTGTCCATGGACAATGGCCGCTCCTTCCCGCGCTCGGGCACCTGGCTGGCTGGTGAGCCCCATGGGTGCCTGTCCAAGCGTGGGCCCCAGGCCCCACCCTCCGTGGGCCCTGGCCCGCCACAGGGACTTTCCCCAGTGCTAATGTATGCACACCTGGCCCTCCAGGCCCTGCCGCTCTGGCTGAACCAGTCCCTTGGGAGGCCCGCCCGACAGCACGGGCGTGGGTTCCCACAGCTCCTTTCCCCACCTCCTGGCATCCGAACAGGAGTCCTGGCCCAGAGGTAGTGGGGGCTACAGGGGTCCCCCAGCAAGGTGGGCCAGTGCCTGCCCGCTCAGCTCGGCCAGGCCGGGGGAGGGAAGGAGCCAGGTGAAGGCCAGAGGCCTGGGTGACAGAGGGCAGGGCCCTGCCTCTCCTGGCCTCTGTCCTTTCCTGCTGTGAGGGTCTGGGGGAGGCCATCGCTCCAGGGGGACCGCCATCCTTTGTCCTCGGGAGGCTCATCTCGCCTTCCCCTGCCTAGTGCACCCCAACAAAGTGTCGCAGACAACAAAGATCCAGCTGGAGAACGAGACCCGCTGGCAATACTATGGCACCGCAGGCACCAAGGGTAACCTCACCTTGACCTGGCAAGCCACAGTTCTGCCCACGCACTTCGTCACCATTGAGCTGTGGGGTTACGAGGAGACAGGTGAGGCTGGCTGAGGACTGGTCGGACTGAGGGGCTCTGCAGCCGCCTCTGCGGGGCCTGGTGGGGTCATGAGCTTTGGGCCTGCAGGGATGGGAGAAAGGGGATTCCTGGTGGGGGAAATCCCAGGCAGGGGTGCCGAGCGAGGAAGGGGAACTGGCGGGAGTGTGGGGGGCAGGGAGCAGCGCAAGGAGGCTGGGGACCCCTGGCTGTTTGGGGCCCGGCTCTGGGAGGAGGTATGGACATTCTTGGCCCTTGGATACAGGCTTGTCCTGGAAACAGAAAAAGCTTGCTCTGCCCCATCCTCTCTGAGCCCCTGGATGGCTAGCATGGCCCTAGGCCTGGCCTCGAGCAGGGACAGGGACCCTAGAATGTAGGGAGAGGAGGTGGTGGTCACTCAGGCTGGGGTCCTTGCTAGAGCAGCAGGACAGGCCCTCCTATAGGGATTGTCTGTCCATACTTCTGCCCATCTGAGCAACAAAGATTGGCACCTGAGCACCAAAGATTGGCACCCACCCCTTTCTCTGCCCCGGGGATCCTCAGACAGGCCCCAGGGCTGACTGAGGCCTTCTCTCCCTCAGGGAGGCCATACTCAGGGGAGTGGACAGCAAAGTGGTCATACCTGTACCCCCTGGCCACAAATGTCTCCAACTCCGGCTTCTTCACCTTCACCCCGAAACCTGCGCCTCAAAACTACCAGAGATGGGAAGTGGGTGCTATTCGGATCATCAACAGCCAATACTCCTCTGGGGAGAAGTAAGGGCCGTGAGAGGGTGAGCTGGAGGCCCCTGTCTGCCTACTGCCTGCCCAGCTTGACAGGGAAGCCAGGGCGGGGCAGGGAGGGTGGCCCTTAGTGTGTGGTACCCCCACAGGGACGTGCAGGCACTCTGGAGCAATGAGCATGCACTGGCCTGGCACCTGGGCGATGACTTCCGGGAGGACCCCGTGGCCTGGGCCCGTACTCAGTGCCTGGCCTGGGAGGAGCTGGAGGACCAGCTGCCCAACTTCCTGGAGGAACTGCCCGACTGCCCGTGCACCCTGGCCCAGGCCCGGGCAGACACCGGCCGCTTCCACGTGAGCCCCCACTCCAGTCAGGGCCCAGGAGGGGACAAGGGGGCACCCGCTCAGGACAGCACCCAGGGAGGCAGATAGAGGCCCCAGGAGGTGAGGCTGGGGTCTGAGGGGTTGGTTCCCAGGGAGGCGCTGGCAGAGCCCAAAGCCAGCGCAGGTGACAGCAACCAGCCACTCTGCAGACGGACTACGGCTGTGACATTGAGCATGGCAGCGAGTGCACCTATCACCCAGGGGCTGTGCACTGCGTGCGCTCCGTGCAAGCCAGGTGAGTCCCCAGGTGGTAGAGGGCAGGGGGGCAGACTCCCGACGATGACCCTGACCTGTCCATGCCCCCAGCCCCCGGTATGCCTCGGGCCAGCAGTGCTGCTACACGGCAGCGGGCACGCAGCTCCTGACGGCCGACTCGACAGGCGGCAGCACCCCGGACCGCGGCCACGACTGGGGCGCACCCCCGTTCCGCGCACCGCCCCGGGTGCCCGGCCTTTCCCACTGGCTCTACGATGTCATCAGCTTCTACCACTGCTGCCTCTGGGCGCCCGAGTGCTCCCGCTACATGCGGCGCCGGCCCTCCAGCGATTGCCGGACCTACCGGCCCCCACGCCTGGGTGGGTGCCAGCCAGGGGGGCTGCGGGCAGGGCAGGGCCAGGGCGGTCCACCTGACCCTCTGCTCTCCCCAGCCTCCGCTTTCGGGGACCCACATTTTGTCACCTTTGATGGCGCCAACTTCACGTTCAATGGGCACGGTGAATACGTGCTGCTGGAGGCAGCCCTGACTGGCCTGAGCGTGCAGGCACGGGCCCAGCCAGGGACGACACCTGAGGGTGAGGCTGGGCCTGGGGGCTCTGGGTGGCGTGGGGTCATCCCTGGGGGGAAGCTGGAGCCTAGCGGACCCTGTTCTGTACCCACCACCCAGGCACACAGGCCCGAGGCACAGGGCTGACTGCTGTGGCTGTCCAGGAGGGCAACTCGGACGTGGTGGAGGTCCGGCTGGCCGACGGTGTGGGGGTCCTGCAGGTGCTGCTGAACCAGGAGGTGCTCAGCTTTGCCGAACAGAGCTGGATGGACCTGCAGGGTGAGTGGGATGGCAAGCTGCCCTCCCTCCCTTCTCCTCCCACCTGGGCCTCCAACATCCCTCGCTAGCCCTGGCTGGAGGCGGGGGTGGTGACCAGGGCACAGATGCGGAGACAGAGGCCTCTTAGGGCTTACTGCAGGGTGACAGTCAGCCCCACTCCCCTGCACCCCACTGCAGAGGGACCCGGCATGGTGAACACAGGCCCCCAGCCCATGGCTATCTGTGGGCAGACGTGGTTCTAGGCCCCAGGTAGCGAGGGCCAGCGTTGGGGGCCTGGTCTGATCTTTTGCCTTACACCCATGGATCCCTGAGACCCACCCTGGCCACAGCCCCTAGAGGCTGGGATGGTGGGATGGGTCCACTGAGGCCCAGAGTAGCCAGGAGCTGCAGTGATAGGACTCGCCGCCTGCTGCGAGGAAGCTGGCCCTGAGGGCTAGGGAGCCACAGCTCCCTATCCAACCCCGTTCCCACAGTGGTGCTGTCTCAGGGAACTGAACAGATGAAATGGTTCCCAGCTGGGATGGTGGGGACCTGGGACAGGCCTGTTGGCGCTGAAGGATCCCCGGGAAGGACAGAGGCGGGCAGGGCTGCTGCCTCCCAGTCAGGGAGCAGTGTTGGCATGGTGGGGGGTTCCCTTCAGGGCCTGGGCATCTCAGGCCCATCTGGGGGTCCCAGCACAGGTGTGGGCCCAGACTTGGCCTTGGGGACGCCCTCTCCTTCCCCCAAAGTTCATGGGCACTGGCCCACCCATCACAGCCCAGTGCCCACAGGAGGCGACCCTGACCCCAGCTCCACCTGTGCTCAGGCATGTTCCTGTCGGTGGCTGCTGAGGACAGCGTATCAATCATGCTGTCATCGGGGGCTGGCCTGGAGGTCAGCATCCAGGGGCCTTTCTTGAGCGTGACGGTCCTGCTGCCCGAGAAGTTCCTTAACCACACACGAGGCCTCCTCGGGACACTCAATGACAACCCCACAGATGACTTCACCCTACGCAGCGGGCAGGTTCTGTCCGCAGGCGCCAGTTCCCGACAGCTATTCCAATTTGGGGCTGACTGTGAGTGACCGTCAGGCACACACTGCGGGGTGGAGGAGGCGTGGTGGGGGCGGGGTCAGTGGAGGTATGGGGGAGACCCCAGACCCCCGGCCCCCAGCCAGGCCTGCTGCGTGTCCCCCCAGGGGCTGTGGAGAACGCCTCCTCCCTGCTCACCTATGACTCCCTGCTCCTGGTCAAAGACTTCCTGTACGGCCCCAAGCATGACCCTACCTTCCAGCCCCTCTTCCCCGACGAGACCACCCCCAACTCCAGCCATGCGACTGAGGTGGCCGAATTGTGTGGGGACAACCATTTCTGCAGCTACGACGTGGCGGCCACTGGGAGCCTAAGCGTGGGCAATGCCACGCGGACGGCCTACCAGCTGCACCAAAGTCGTGTGCAGAGCCTGCAGTCCGGTGAGGGCAGCACAGGGGGCACAGGCAAGGGGGTAGGCACCTTGTGCTGGGACATGGCCCCCCAGGCAGCCAGTGGCTCAGGCCTGTCGTCTGTGTCCCACCCCTACCCCAGTGGTGTCCTGCGGCTGGTTGGCCCCGCCCCTCAATGGGGGCAAGGAGGGCATCAGGTACCTGGTGGGCTCCACCATCCACTTCCACTGTGACAGCGGCTACAGCCTGTCCGGGGCAGAGGCCAGCACCTGTCAAGCTGATGGCACCTGGTCCACGACCACCCCGACATGCCAGCCAAGTGAGGATGCCCCGCCCACTCGCCCAGCCTGGCTGCGCCCCGCCCACATGCCTGCCCAGCCCCCGCCCTGGGCAGCCCTCACTGCTCTGCCCCCTCTCCAGGACACAGCTACACGGTGCTGCTGAGCATCATCTTTGGAGGCCTGGCAGTGGCAGCTCTGGTCGCCGTGGTCTACGTGGTGCTGCGCCGCAGGAAGGGCAACATGTGAGACCCCACCCACGCAGACCCAGGGTCCCGACACCAGGACCCTGGTCTGTGCCCCTCCTCGGCTCCCCTGGGACCCTGGGGCGCTGGTGGGACTGCTGTGCCTGCTCTAGACCACGTCTTTGTTGCAGGGCCATCTGGGGTTCACAGCCCTGATGGGAGCGCGCTTGGCTGGCAACATGAGGCACACAGGCCACCCCGGGGCCACAGACCAACCTCCCAAGAGAAAGCCTTGAACTCCCAAGAACATACACCCCAGTACTTCGATCCCAAATCCCTAGCACCATACACCTGGGACCTGGACACCTGACCCCTGAGCCTTCAATGCCCATGGACCCGAGGCCAGTGCCCTGCTCTGTCACCTCAGACCTGGACCCTGAGCTCTAACTGTGCAGTTCTCCAGGTTGGCACCCGGTGCTCTGTTCCCCAAATACTCGCAGCTCTAATTCCCCAGGCCCAAGACTCCATACCCTTGAATTCTAACGCCAGTCTCCTGAGCCCTAGTACTCCAGCACCTGAAACTCAAACACCAATGCCTCAGATCCCATGTCCAATGCCCATGACCCTGATCCCTAATATACTGAGACCTGGTGCCCCAACAGAGGAGCCCCAGCACCCAGCTGCCTTGATTCCTGGGCCCAGCCTGAGACTGAAGGTGGGCCCAGCCAAGGGTGTGGAGATGCCTCAGGACCCCAAGGCAGAGAGTCATCCTAGGAGCTCCAGGCTTGCAATTCTAACACTTCTGGAACATGGTTTGAAACACCCCTCCCTGCCTATACAAGGGGAAAACAAGCCTGTGGTGCCCCCTCCCTGGTGTCCTGGTGCTCATGCTGCGCCTCAGTTCCGGAGAGTTCCATGGTTGCCCTCTGGGGTCCACAGCACCCAGAGCAACTGAGTCTGAGTCCGTCATCCACTGCCAGGTCACCTGGGACAGGTCCCTCCTCAGTGTCTCTCCAAGTGGGATCAAAAGTGGGCTTGAGGGCCGGCCCCGTGGCTTAGCGGTTAAGTGCGCGCGCTCCGCTGCTGGCGGCCCGGGTTCGGATCTTGGGCGCGCACTGACGCACCGCTTCTCCGGCCATGCTGAGGCCGCGTCCCACATACAGCAACTAGAAGGATGTGCAGCTATGACATACAACTATCTACTGGGGCTTTGGGGGGCAAAATAAATAAAGTTAAAAAAAAAAAATAGTGGGATTGAGAACAGTGACCACTTCGTGGGTGAGGACAAGGGACAACGTTTGCAAAGCGTTCACCATGGGGTGCCACGCTGGGTGCCCAGGAGATGGGACGGGGCCAGCATAGGTGCCTGCCCAGCACCACCCTGAAGGCAGTTACTGGTGGTGCCATGCCCCAGTCCTGACTGGGGCCCATGTTCCGGGTCCCTAGGCCTTTCACTCAGCAGTGTCCAGAAGCTAGGTACAAAGCACTGGCCTCACGCTGTCACTGCCCTCTTTGTGGCAAGGGTGCTGAATGGGGAGCCATAGGAGGGCCTAGGCAGCATAGGATGGGGTCAGATTTGCATCGTAGGTCTCAGACGGAGAAAGTGCAGGAGGGTGGGGTTGAAGGTTGGTGGCCCTTGGCCCAGGTGGGCAGCTCAGCCTGAGAGGGTCTGCAGTAGGGGTTGGGAGGGTTGCCCAGGGGATGTAGAGCCCTGGGTGGGAGGCGATGAGTGGAGGCTCCCCTCCCTATAGCCTGCAGTGCCAATATTGGCCACGTGGAGGCAGCAGAGGGTAGTAACAGATTGGAGGTGGAGGCTACGCCAGGACCCAGGCCATAGGCTAGGGCAGTCATCCCCTGCCCCGTAGCTGGGCCAGCAGGTTTGCCAAAACCTCGGCCAAGGTTCATGCAGGCCCACCTCCACGCCTCCCCTATGCTGGGAGGACCTCGAGTCATCCCCCAATCTTGGGAGCTCAAGAGAGGTTGCACAGGTCATCCAGCTAGCACTGACCATTGGGGTCAGAACCCAGGCCTCCCCACCCCCTCAGCCTCACCCTTGGAGAGTCCCATGCAGAGACGGGAGAGCTGGGTGGCAGGGGCAGGTCCAGTCCGGAGGAGGCAAGTATACATGATGAGGTACATTCAAAGGAATAGAGCTGAGAGCGAGGGGTTGGGGTCTCCAGGGGTGGTGCCCAGGAGACTCTAGTGGAGCAGGATGAGGTTGGTGCTTCCTGTCCTTCCAGACCTCAGTCCCCTGCTTCCCCACCTCTCTGGGCTTCCAGCTCAGGACAGGGTGGGGCTGAGGGCCAGCCCCTTGGCTGCGGGGCAGGTACTTTCCTCTGTGCAGATGAGGTAAGGCGAGGCTGGCCTCCCACCGACCTGAGTCCCCAGTGCATCCCTGTGTCAAGCCAGGCCCAGCTGAGCACTTGTCAGGAGGTGAGAGGTCAGTGGTCAAGGCAGCCTGGCCATGTGGGAGCAGGGACACAGGGGCCCTGGAAGGTGGGGGCAGCTTCACAGCTCCCATAACAGGTCTCAAAGGGCGGGCCCAATTCTCAGAGATGTGATTGGCCAGAGAGGGCATTCCAGGTAGAGGAACAGCCTGAGCAAAGGCTCAGAGGAAAAGAAATGCAGTTGGGTCTGAGGAAAGGCAGAGTGGGCTGCAACTGAGGTGCCTCCTTGGCCAGGCTTCATCCTAATAGTAAAGCATGGCCTCCCTAGGGCCCCTCACTCCCCCACGCCCCCTTCTCCCTCTAGGATGGGCCTAGAACTGCCCCCGCCCCTCCCCATAAGGATAAGGGGTGCACTGTCTATGGCCCTGGCCGCAGACATCAGGCTTTCCAAGTGCCAGGGGCAGGCCGGGCTGGGAAGCCCCGACACCTGATGGGTTTTCCCAGGGGCCCCTGGGAGTCAGGGGTGCTACAGGGCCTGTGTGAGGGCGGAAGGTCCCAGAACCCAGCACGGACACCTTAGAGACATCAAAGGCAGGACCCCCCCCCCCCAGGGAGGTGGTCTCCCCAAATGGCAGCCCCAGGGAATCATGGCATTGGAAGCCAATGGCCAGTCCCCCACCCCTTGTACTAGTCGGGGTTTGGGAAACGCAGGTGATGGGAGAGCTGGGAAGTCAAATAGGAGCTGGTGAGGCAGCCACAGGACCCCATCAGCACCCCTGGGCCGAGGGACAAAGGAAGAGGGTGCCACCCACAAAGGCGGGAACCACGCAGGTCCATGGGGCCCTAGCTGGAGCCACAGAGGCAACAACCGCGCCACCTGCTTCTCCTCCTCCTGCCCTCCAGCCTCCCACTAGGGCCTCCCGTTGGCTGAACGCGTGGGGAGCAGCTGACGCAGGCGCGAGGGTCCAATACGGCACAGCGGGGAGCGGGGACCCCTGCGCGGCCAGGTAGGTTCCTTCCCCAAGCACCAAGGTGGCTGAGTGCCCACCCTGGGCCACCCCGTCCTCCTGGGGCTCACGGTCCAATGCTGCCCGAAGAGGCTGGGGTGGTCAGTACAGCGCGCAGTGGGAAGGGGAAGTCAGGGGCTGCTTCCTGGAGAAGTCCGGGTCCAGCCGAATTTCAAAAGATAAAAGTCCTTACGGAAGTGGTGTTGACTAGGTGCCTGCGAGCTGCCCAGCAGTCCATGACATTGGGGTGCCTCGTCCAAACGCGTACTGGACTACATTTCCCAGCCTGCCTTGCGATTGGGGGTGGTCATATGACTGAGTTCTAGCCAGTGCCATGTGAACAGAAGGAGGTGGGGCGCTTCCAGGCCTAGCCCATGACGCCGCCCTCCCGCACCTCTCCGAGCTTTTTCCCCTGCTGGTGTAAGGGTGACTTTGGAAGCCCTGCTGACCTGGGTGCCCAGCATGTGGAAGAGGATCCCCCACCAGCTGACCTGTTCACCCATCTAGTACTGCTATGCGAACAAGAAATAAATTTCTCTTGTGATTAAGCCACAATACTGTTAGGGTCTATTTGTTGCAGCAGTCAGTCCCTCCAATTACACACCAGAGGCAGATGTGAAAAGATGGCCTTACAGTTTTCATTAGTGTTGAAAATGAATACTATGTGCACAAGGTTTAAAAAAATGCAAATGGATGCACCCATGTTCATAGCAGTGTTATTCACAATAGCCAAAATGTGGAAGCAACCTAAGTGTCCATCAATGGATGAATAGATAAATGAATGTGGTACATCCATAAAATGGAATATTATTCAGCCTTAAAAAGGAATAAAATTCTGATACATGCTACAACATGGATGAACCTTGAGAACATTATGTTAAGTGAAACAAGCCAGACACAAAAAGACAAAGACTGTATTATGCCACTTCTATGAAGTCCCTAGAGTAGTCAAATCTATGGAGACAGTAAGCAGAATGGTGGGTGCCAGGGGCTGGGGGAGGGAGAAAGGGGAGTTGTTGTTTAATGGGTACAGAGTTTCAGTTTGGGAAGATGAAAAAGTTCTGGAGATGGATAGTGGTGATGGTTGCACAACCATGTGGATGTACTTAATGCCACTGAACTGTATACCCAAAAATGGTTAAGGTGGTAAATTTTGTGTTATTGACATTTTACCACAATTAAAAATAAAAAATTCATACGGAACAATTTGCTTAACAGTCAGTCCCCAGATGATGGACATGAAGTTGTGCTCAGTTTTTTGCTTCTTCAAACGCTGTTGTCCTTTGTAAATAAGTTCAGGTTTACCTGTAGGAGAAATTCACACAAGACGATTGGCTGGTTAAACAGCACATGTGTTTTCCTCCTAGAGTTATGCCAGTTGACACTTGCCACTAACCTATGAGACAGCCTGATTACCTACACCCTCATGGGCGGAACAAACCTTCAAATGTTTTGCTCTTTGCCCGCTAGGTGTAACACGTTGTGGGCCCTGCATCAACTTGGTTAGGCTGAAAAGCATTCCCAGAATTCCCTTTCTGTATGTTTTGTGTTAGGATGGGCCACAAGGGAGATTCCCTTGCAAGATTGGGAGGGTGGAAGTGAGTCGGCAGTCTTTTTTGTGGTGTATCTGCTGAGTAGCTCATTCTCACCGGCAAAGGCTAGACCTGCCATGGCTCCACCTGCCCCCAGATCCACCTTCAGCTTCACTGACTCCTGGGCCAGGTGTTTCCAGCTTCTACAGGAAACCTTTGTTGCCCTTGGCAACAAGAAGGGACATGGGTTTCAGCCCATCCTCGTGGGCTCCAGCCCACACTTGGGGGTGCAGCCAGCTCTGGATCCTCCCCTCCACTTTATATCCATCTTCCTTCCTGACTCCCTGCCACATGGACGTCAAGTTCCAGCATCAGACTGAAGACGACAGTCTTACAGAGACCCCCTGACCAGCATCC